AGGAGGAGGAGGAGAGGAACGCGGGGCACCGTCTCTTCAAAACGAGGACCCAACACCACAGGATGGTTGGGAACAAAAGCTACCGCCCAAAGTCTGACATTGGTGCGGCAAGCGAGGGGACTGCCCTGTTGCGGGCTTGGGGAACTCCCGTCTCCACCGCGATGTCGGAGGCCTGGAAATCGGCACCAACACCAAGACAGGGGGCTGCCTTTACAGGGGGAAAAGAATCCTAGATTCTCGGTGTTGGTGGTAATAGTTCGGCCACCTTGGAAGCCAGAATATTAACACCATCACCGAGATCGGGATCTTCTTCCCTCGGTGGAGGCACACCGCCGAAATCGGTGTTGGTGTCAATCCCTAGGCCTGCGACGATGTGGGTCCTCGGGGGATTGGAGGTGTTGTCCGATGTCTCCTGGGGTGAACAGGGGGAGCGCATGGGTACGAGAGGCGGTGCTGGGAGTCGGGCGAGGAGGGCAGGGGTGGGGCGGGAGGGGAGAGGTGAGTCGGGGAACGCCAGGCGCGAGGAGGGATGGGGTGGAGTGGGAGGGAGAAGGAGGAGGTATTCCAGATCTCGTAATAAAAGGGAGGGGATCCCAACCCTCCCAGACGAGAAGTTTTAGACCCTCCCAGACCATCCATGAAAGGGCGTCCATTTGCCCAGACCCCCCCGAACCCTCCAAGACAGCTCAAATCAGACCCCCCCCAAGATGTGACCCCCCCCACTTCATCATGGAATCTGGAGTATGGCCGTGTGTACGGGGGAAGATGGGAGGAGAGGCGGAGAAGGGACGCCCCAAATGCTTGCTCCGCGCGTTGGGCCCAGACGGCCGCGCCAGGCATCACACCGATCCATGTGCTCGGGCCTCTCTTGTATATACCTTCCTAGCGCACCGGCTTCCGGCGCATGCGACCGCCTGCGCCCTCCTCGTCTCGGCATCGCTCGGACGTGTGCGTTTTTCCTCGGCGAGGACCATCGAGGAGCATCCTAGATCATTTGGCGAGAAAGCCACGCACGAAACCGAAAAAAACACAGGGAGTGGACGTCCGCGCGATGGCGCCCTCCTCGTGGCGAAGAGCTCTCCCTCTGTGCCCGAGGCCTCCTCCCGCGCGCCTCCTCTTCCGCGGCCGCCCTCTTATCCCCCCGGTCGGCGCGCGTGCCCGAGTCCTCCTCCCTCCCCCCCTCCTCCTCCTCCTCCTCTCCTCCTCCTCCTCCTCCTCCTCCTCCTCCTCCTCCCTCCTCCTCCCCCTCCTCCTCCTCCCCTCCTCCTCCTCCTCCTCCCTCCCCTCCTCCTCCTCCTCCTCCTCCCTCCTCCTCCTCCTCCTCCTCCTCGTCCTCCTCCTCGTCCTCCTCCTCGTCGTCGTCCTCCTAATGCCTTGGCGTCCGTCTTCGTTGCTGACAAAAGAAAGGTCAGGGGTTTGGCACTCTTCGTTAAGCCGGGCATGTCCCTCTACAGGAGGGATGTTCAAAAACATAGTCCCAAAACAGTCTGGGGGGGCGATTGGTGGACCATCTCTGGCCACTGTTGCGTGCTGCTCTGATCGCTTCTCATTTTTCGCCCCGACCAAGCCTGATGGAGGACGTGCCCGACCTGACGCTCTTCACTTCATCCCCCCGCCCGGCCCCGCCAGAGGCCCAGCGTGCCGCAGCAACGTGTGTTTCTGATCCTGCCTGCGGCGTGCGCCCAGGAGTCCAAGGGGTCAAATTAGCCACGCGCAGAGGGGGGTGGGGGGAGGGGGGAGGGCTTCTTAGAAGCACCCCTGCTTCTTAGAAGGCGCGGGCCTTATCTACAGATGTAAGGCCGGCGCCTTCTAAGAAGCAGCCTCCTTCGAAGAAGCCCACCCCCCCTCCCTCCACCCCCTTGGGCGCGCCGCCAATCAAATGGTCAAGATTGGCGGGCACCAGGGCGCACATGACAGCACCGAGAACCACCGATCCGCGGGGAGGGGAGTCTACCGCCTGTCTACGGCGATGCTATCAAGTAGGCGCGTTGTCAGCCAGAAGGAATAAGGCTCGGATGAGGGAGGAGGGCAAGGATGCATGGAGGGGGTGGAGGACAAGCTAGGTGCGCTCACGTCATATCTGAACTCCTGCCCCTCCCTCCCATCCCTTGCCATGGCGTGGATCTCCTCTCTATTCGCACAGTCTGATGTCGAGCAGGGCACTGATCACGAGAGGGTACGCGATGCACGGTAGAGCACGGCATGGCATGGTGCAGAAGAGCACGGCAGAGCGTAGCATGCCATAGCATGGCGTTGCGTTGCGCAGTGAAGCATTGCATTACAAGACGTTGCAACGCAAAGCATGGCATCGCACGGCATCGCACAGCGGCGCAGAACACAGCACCGCACAGCATGCCATGGCATGGCGCCGAGTTCCTTGGAGGGTAAGTGGATCGTCTTTGAGAGGTCTGGGCTGGTCTGGAGTCGTGGCTCCATGTCTAGCTGATGGAGAGCACCCGCTGGCTCTGCTTTCAACATCGCATTCTCGAAACGGAAACGGGGCTCTCGCTTGATATCTCTTGGAAGCGACGACGCCCCAAAGTGGGGGGGGCTTCCCGAAAAATCAACGAACCGACACCGAATGTGTAATCTCTTTTGATGGTTTTTTCGGGGTGCATTTTCTAAGATGTTGGGGCCTACTTGGAAGGACCGAAACCGCCCTCGCTGCAGCGGGAGCACGATTTGGAACAACCAGAGGCGCACAAATGGTGTCAGCGATTCAGCGGGAACAACATTTTGAACAAACGCCAGCGGAAACCCATTTCTGGGGAATCCAATGTGTATAACAATACACGGGGGGGACACCTTCTGGACGTCATCATGGGAGAGAGGAGAATATTATTGAATCACTTTGCTCATTCCTCCGGCCCATACTGTGCGCCGTTGTCGATTGGCAGAGTGGTCTTTCGCGGTGCTGAGCTGCAGGGGCGGCGGCTGTTTTTATCAGGCTTTGCGTTCGGCATGTGAGGTTTATTGGTGGCCGCTGGGGGGGTCTTGAACGCGTCGCGGGCCGTCTGGAAGCGTTTTGCCTATGGGGACCCTTTCGGGAGGCCTCTTGGTGGCCTCCTGGGGACTCTTAAACGCGTCGGGTCGTTGGCACTTGCTTGCGTGCTCGGGGGGGCATTTCGGGGGCCTCCTGGGGCCTCTTGGGGGCCTCCTGAGGGCATGTTGGAGGCCTCTTGGGGCCTCTTAGAGGCCTCTTGGGACTCCTGGTGGCTTCTTAGGACCGAGGTCTCGAAATGTTGTTTCGTGTTCCCCCCTGGGATCTCTCTTGGGGCGCTCTTGGGGCCTTCTTGGGCCGTCTTGGAGGCCTCTTCGGCCGTCTTGGGGCCCTGTTGGACGTCATCGGGGGAGTGAGGAGAGTATTATTCAGATTGTGTTGAAGAGGAAGGGAGGAGGATTCGATTGGAGAGGCCTTGCGGCCGGTGCCGCCGACGATGAACGACGACGATGACAACGACGCCGACGACGAGGATGATTCTATATTACAGTGGGGGCGCGCATCAAGAAACCATCTACTTTTCGTCATGGCATCCTGGGTTTCTTCGCCCCTCGCGCTGCGCGGTGACTTCCCGCAGCCGTTGAGGGAGCTGCTGCATTCGGGGTGCTCCAGGTTTACCCTCAGGTGCACCTCGCGCACGGGTTCTCAGGGCTGGGTTTCTTGCGAGGGTTTCTTGCGGCCGCGCCCGCACTGTATAGTATTCTAGCTTATGGGTGCTTCCGATGCAGAAGCGACGAGTTGAGGAGGAGAAAGTTGCTGGGCAGGAACGGCAGCAGGGCCTGGGAAGGACGAGGGTGACGAGCGGGAATCTCGCAAAGCAGGGAAAGAGGCCGAGCGCACACAAGGAGCAGCGAGGACAAGGATGAGACGCACGAGGGGAGGGGGAGGAGGAGGAAGAGGAGGAGGAAGAGGAGGAGGAGGAGGAGGAGAAGGAGAGGGGAGAGGGGAGAGGGGAGAGGGGAGGGGAGAGGGGAGGGAAGAGGAGGAGGAGAAGGACAGGGGAGAGGGGAGAGGGGAGAGGGGGGGAGGGGGGAGGGGGAGGAGGAGCAGGAGGGAGGAGGAGGAGGAGGAGGAGGAGGAAGAAGACGAGGAGGGAGGAGGAGGAGGAGGACGACGAACCAGAATATGGAACATGATAGTACGAGTAAGGCTGGGAATACCAATAGTAATACTAAAAATGAAAATAATAACAGCAAGAGGAGGCGGCGGCGGAGGAGGAGGAGGAAAGGCCGCCGTGTGTGGGCGGATCTGCCCGAGCTCATGCGCGTACTGGGCCTCCCTGCCCCAGGCGGCTGGCCGAGGCCGGGGCCCCCATGGTGCGGTGCCAGGAGGTGCCCGCGAAGGAGGCCGTCGTCGGCCGCTCGGGCTTCCCGCGCGCCAGAGGGGACCCCAAGCACAGGTTCGTTCTGTCGCACCCTTGGCTATCAACGAGGGGAGGATCGGGTGCTGCTGGAAGTGCCCATGGCCCAGGGGTGCCCCCTCCTCCTCCTCTCCTCCTCCAACTCCTCCATCTCCTCCTCCTCCTCCTCCTTCTCCTCCTTCTCCTCCTCCTCCTTCTCCTCCTCCTCCTCCTTGCAAAGGGGCCCCCACAGCCTCCAGAGCACCCCACACGAGGCCCAGAGGGCCCCAGGGAGCTCCAAGATTGACCGAAGAGCTGAGGTCCCTTGGGCCAGGGGCACATTTAGCAACACTCGAACGAAACGCGACGACCATGACCAAGATGTCGCGGAATCTTGTCGACGCCGACCTGGGTCATGGTCCATGCCGGCCGTCGCCGATTCGCGAGGATGATCCACAAGTTGAGGACGACCATGACCAATATGGACGGTGGCCGAGGTTGACACTGACGTTTCCACGCTCAGTCTTGGTCTGGGCCATCGTTGTCTTCCCCTCCGTATCGAAAGAGCACCCAGATCCGAGCGGAACGAAGTTGACGAAGCTGGTGCAGCAGCTGGACCTCCTGGGTGCATCCGATAGCGATGCAGTGTTCATCGATTTCATGTCGCTGCCTCAGAACAATAAGCAGGACCCGGAGTATCGGCGGCTGGAGCGAGAGGGCAGGGTGCCCAATCCCGGCGAGCACCACGCTGTCCGCACAGAGGCGGAGGAGGCGTTGTTCAAGAATGCCCTCGGCTCGATGGAGCTGCTCTACAGCATGGGGAATACTCCCGTCATCGTTCTGCCCATGGACGACGAGGTCGCTGCCGGCACAGCGTACTTCTCGCGAGGTTGGTGTTTCTTCGAGTTCGCCCTCGCGTTCAGTTTCGGCAACATCGCGAATGCGGAGATCCACCCACCCGTGGATCAGATGCGCAAGAGAGCCGCAGATCTGAAGTTGGACACGGTGGACGGTTTCAAAGAGGGCTTCCAGGCGACGCACTTCACCAACAAGGGCGACGAAGAGGTCGTCGTCAAGCTCTTTGAGCAGACCTTGCACGAGAAGGTGAGCCATTGAGAAGGGAAGGGACGAGGAGGGGAAGGAGGAGGATGAGAAGGAGAAGGCGCACTCTTCCTCCGCTCCTCGAACCTCCCCGACATCATCGTCGTCGTCCGACTCCTCCTCCTCCACGCCCTCCTTCTCTTCGCTGGGCGCTCCTCCGACTCCTCCTCCTCTTCGCCCTCTCGCTCTTTGAGCCCGTGGCTCCCTCCTCCGAAGACCTCGAGATCTGGCGCCACGAAACGAATGCAGCATCACCACGAGCCCTGGTCTGGAGGGTTTCTTCGAGGGGCCTAGAGAACCCGTTTCCCTTCTCCTCCTCGTCCTCCTCCTCCCTCTTCCTCCCTCCTCCTCCTCCCCCTCCTCGACGCAGACCGAAGGGCGAACACGAGTGTCCGCCGCCGAGGCACGGGCGCGTGGTGCCGACACCACCGACGCCACGGCCGAACCGAAACCGATCAGCGTGGCTAGGGGCGCACCTTGCAACCGCCATTAGCCACGCCCCGCGGACAACGAAAAACCAAACGAGTTAGCCTCTCTGGTGTCTCCTCCTAGCGGAGGATGAAGAGGCTCCGAGGCCCGCGCGAGCCAGCAGGCCCGTCCTGAAGGGCTGGATGAGAAACCACTACTTCTTGTTGATGGAAAAAAGCGCGCGGGCTCGCGCGCAAGGTTCGCGAGCACGCGAGCTCCCCACGAGGCGGGAGGTGGCGGACCAGGGCAAGCGGCCGACAGGTCAGCAGACATTTGGACGCCCCCCTTCCCACACACGCAGCACACAACACACCACACACGCTCGCCCACCCCCCCGGCTTGGAAAGGGTGCAAGACGTGCTCCCGTCCTCCTGCGAGTGCCACGCGCACATGCGCGAGATCTGCCTGAGAGACGGCTCGGGGCACGACTGGCGGTGGCGGCACAACAGCGACGCTCGGCACGTAGGGTTTCGTGCTGGCATTGCTGCGCTGCCTGGTAGGAACGCGCATACAATCTAAATCGCACATGCGAGGCCCGACAGAGGCAACCCACGTGGCCCACTGCTTGAGAACGTGGGCCTTGGCCTGGCGAGCCTCGCGAAAGCTCTCAGGGATCCTTGCACGTTGGGCCATCCATCGTGCCCAATCGTCAGCATGGTCGTTGCCTTCTTTTTTCCAGACGCGTGGACAGGCCTTGCTGCACACGCGCCTCTGTGCAGCGACCCTTGACTTTGCGAAGGTCGATCATATCTACTCCGCCCCAGTCTTGGATGCGATCCCACACGTGAATCCACAACTCAGACCAGGCGGAACGTGCCGAACAATAAAACAGCTGGCCACGTACATGCACACCGTCATGCACAAACGACGAGCCCGTATACATGATCGTGCCAGGCGCGCAGTGTTTCAGAGCGCGCAGAAAAGCATGCAACTCAGCGTAGTCAACGTCGACACGCACGTGCTTGGCGAGCCCACGCATGACGGACAGCACACGAAACGGATAAGCTGGCTGTAGGGCAACGAGGGCCCACGCCGCTACTTGGGCGTGCTGAGGAAGGTGCTGATCAAACCAACTGTCGTCCAAAAAGACATACCCTGACATGGCTGTGGGCCCTCCCGAGAACCATCGATCAGGGAGGTCGAGAGAGGGAGGAAGGGCAGCTTCGGGCACGAGCAACCTTTCAGCGAAGACAAGGGGAAGCGCTTGAGCGCAGGACCTCACTAGCTTCTCAGCAAAATCAGGCAATGAAACATCTGACAGCACCTCATGGATTCCGCCACAGGAGCCGTGACGATGCAGAAGGGTGCCTGGGGACTCTTGGCACAGCTGGCAGAGCGGGTATTGGGTAAGTTTGGCCGCCCACTGCCTCTGCTGAGGCCATTGCCCCCACGAAAAAAAAAACAGATTTTAAATGGCTCCGCTCGCTAGGACGGAGCTTCCTAGACCTGAGGAGGCTTCGAAGCGGCTCTAGATTGCACCCCTGCTGAAGCTTTGGCACGCTTTCACGATCGGCGACCCTTCGCCACAGCCACCGCTCCACTGCTGCTTCGAGCCAGAGGGATACCGTTCGAGGACCAACCTCGGAGACGTCAACGCAGCCTAAATCAGGGTGGGGCCAAGAGAAACCGTCAAAACTGATCCCGAGCCGGAGGGCTGTGGCAGCACACGCAGAAAAAAAGGCTCGCGGATGTTGGCCCAAGGGCTCCCGTGCCCCCTAAACCAACCCACCGCCTCCCTCAACCCTTGCTCCAGCATCTTGCGCGGCAGCCACTGCTCCCAAACAGCAGTGGCGAGAGCACGCAGGGGATCGAGGTTGAGGGAGTAGACAGGATCATTGCGCGGCGAATCAGCAAGTATGAGCATGAGGCTGATAGACTTGCCAGCGAGACTGTGCGCCTGCACATGCGCTTGCATCATGCGTGCCTGCCGAAGGTCAGTGCCCGTTGTGCCGAGCACTTTGCAGCCGTACTTGAAAGACGCAAGCACCGCACTCTGTACCATGGTGTGCATGCGCTTCTGCTTGACAAGCCCAGAGAAAGTAAGTAGTTTGCGAGCACGTGCGCGAGCTGGGTTCCTCCTGCTCGCACGCGTGGACTGCTTGTATGCACGGCCTGCTGCAAAATCGATGCCACGGTTACGCTCGGTGCGAGCCGACCGGACCTTGAGCTTCCCAAGTCGCTGCTCTAGACATCGGCGCAGCGTGAAGGACGCGGCAACAGCTCGCGATTTCTTCAGGGCAACAGGCAAGTGCATTTTTCCAACTCACGATGCAGCAAACTAGTAGCGCCGACGAGCTCGTTAGCGACATCTGACTCACGACCTAGCCTCTGTAAGCCAAAGTCGTCTACAACATTGCCAAGATGCACGCGCGGAAAGGCTGCGCGCACGGCGTCGAGCGGCAGCAAGAGAAGCAGCTGTAGCATCAACGTTGCGAAATGACACCCAGGCAGGACCGCCTGGAGGGCCTCGAGAGGACTGGAGACGGCATCATTCAGAGAGAGGACCCTGGGGCAGCGATAGATCTCGACGAGAAGCCTCAGCTGACGGATTGGAAAACCCGATCGCACAGCAGCTGCAACTAACATGTCATGGCGGATGTGCTCAAAGGCTTTCTGTAAATCAAGCAACGCAAGAGCACTGGCAAAACCTTTGGCTAGACCCCATTCCGCTGACCCTGACCGGATCCAAACAAGCTTGTCATTGGATCGGCCAGCTGTTGACCACCAGTAGGGCCTCGGGTGCTGCAACTGCCACTGCTCGACGAGTGGCTTCCTGAGACGGCCCTGGACGCGAGCGAGAATGTGAATTAACGCGATGGGTCGAAGCCCACCATCGCGTTTGGCCAGACAAAACAACTTTGGTCCAGATTCGCGGCCACGCGGCGGCCGTTTCGACTCCAACTAAAACGTCGAGGAGCGACTCTAAAGCGGGATCCGAAAGCCCCAGAAGTTGCCGCGGGCAAAGCTGATCAAGCCCACATCCAGACCTCCTGAGAAAACTACGAATGCACTTCTTACGAGCTTCGAGCGTGGGACGCTCGTAGGCAGAACCAAGATCCGCTGGCCACTGCATGTGACCATCGAGGCTTCCAACCCTCCACCACTCAGACCACTCCGACGTGAGAAGCTCCACCTCCTCCTGAAGCGTGCATGGCGCCCTAGTGGCGCTGATCTTACTGGAGTGCCATGGTGTGGCTGGCCTGGAGCGCGCATAGAGGGCAGCGGCTCCGTCCGTGCTGTGCCGTCTGACCCACTCGCGCCACCCCGCTTGCTTATCTTTCTCGGCTCTGCGAAAGATGACTAGGGCACGGGCTTTAGTGACTCGCGCAGCTGCAGCGGCGAGCGAATAGGGCAGCGAGAAATGCAGCTGCATGAGCTGTGTCCAAGGCTTAGCATCACACGCAGGAACACCACTAACCTTAAGCCGAGCTTGGACACAGCGGCTGAGCTTGATGGTACCGTTTCGCAAATGCGGCGGCTGCCACTTCGCTAGCCCTTCAAAGCAGCGGGCAAGCAGGCGCCACCAGAGGGCAGCTGGGCTCAGGGTGGGAAAGGCCAACGCCTGAGGACAGGGCGGTGGCTCATATGCCACTGCTGGTCAATGCTGAGCTCCTTCATCAGCTGCGACGCTCGCACCCACCTGGGCTGAGGATCGGTTCGACGGCATGTGACAGGTAGATATGCAGGGAAGCGCTTGGGGAGTTGCACAATCTGGTACTGCATCATGGCTTTGGACACTCCTGGCAACGTCATCATCACTGGGAAATGTGGTGCGGTACCGCCATCCATGAGGACTTCAATCTTGGCCCCATGCGCAATAATCCCTGAGACGACGAAGAAGTCGATCACTCGACCTGCCGACGCGCTTGAATTTGTGCACGTGGCGCAGGCAGGGGAGATGCAGACGCCGTCGAGCGCGCTGATCCACCCACTACCCTGTAACCCGGTTGGCAGCATCTGGAAGTCACCCGAGATCACGAAAGGCAAACCGGCAATCTGAATCACCTCGCCGATCTGAGACAGGATAGACCAGTTGCGTGAAGACAGGCCCTCGGAGTGGTGGAGGTATGCCGTGATCCAGAGAAAACCACTGGGTGTCACACCTGCACAATGCAAAACCCGAGCGCGTCCATCAGCCAACGTGGACGGGA